CAGTGCCTGGCAGCCCCGGCCCACGGCCCTGGCTTTTCCTGCCCTCTTCTGCCTTTGCCTCTGTCCCTCTCTCTTGATCATAAGAACGGCCAGACTGGGTCATCCAGCCCGGTGTCCCGTCTGCCCACAGAGGCCAACGCCAGCTGCCCCAGAGGGAGCGAACAGAACAGGGACCATCAAGCAACCTCCCTCCTGCCATCCAGTGCCTGGCAGCCCCGGCCCACGGCCCTGGCTTTTCCTGCCCTCTTCTGCCTTTGCCTCTGTCCCTCTCTCTTGATCATAAGAACGGCCAGACTGGGTCATCCAGCCCGGTGTCCCGTCTGCCCACAGAGGCCAACGCCAGCTGCCCCAGAGGGAGCGAACAGAACAGGGACCATCAAGCAACCTCCCTCCTGCCATCCATCTCCACCCTCTGACCAACACCCTCCTTACCCATCCTGGCTAATAGCCATTTATCGCCTTAACCTCCATGAATGTATCTAGTTCTCTTTTAAACCCTGTTACAGTCCTAGCCTTCCCAACCTCCTCCGGCGAGGAGTTCCACAGGTTGACTATGGATTTAGCTAAGGGCAAGAAGCTATTCTCCGTCTTAGTCTCTCTCCCTTTTTTTAATGACTCCCAACATCCTGTTTGCTTTTTTGCCTGCCGCTGGGCCCTGCGTGGACGCCTTCAGAGAACTAGCCAAGATCTCTTTCCTGACTAGTTGTCGCTAAATTAGCCCCCAGCGTATTGTACGTATCGTTGGGGTTATTTTCCCCGATGTGCATTACTTGACGCTTATCCCCGTTAAATTTCATTTGCCATTTTGTTTGGTGAGATCTTGTGGACGGTCTTTACGGTCCGCTTTGGGCTTACCTCCCTTGAGCAGTTGTCTGCAAACGTTGCCACCTCACTGCTCACCCCTTTCTCTAAATCGTTTATGAATACGTTGAATAGAATTGGGGGGGGGAATCCCCTGCCCCCTCCTCCGATCCGGGGATCCCCCCACCCCAGCTCTCCGTCCCGGCCTGCACCCTCCAATGTGGGTCTAGCCCCACACCTGCCTTGCTGATGTCTCTCTGGTCCTGAATCCACACACACACACACACACACAATTCTCCCCCCCCCCCCCCGACCCCCGCCCCTCGGACGAATAGAATTGGGGGGGGGAATCCCCTGCCCCCTCCTCCGATCCGGGGATCCCCCCACCCCAGCTCTCCGTCCCGGCCTGCACCCTCCAATGTGGGTCTAGCCCCACACCTGCCTTGCTGATGTCTCTCTGGTCCTGAATCCACACACACACACACACACACAATTCTCCCCCCCCCCCCCCGACCCCCGCCCCTCGGACCACACGGGCGAGAAGCCCTACAGCTGCGCTGAGTGGGGTGAAAGCTTCAGCAGCAGCTCCAACCTGAGCCAGCACCGGCGCATCCACACCGGGGAGAAGCCCCTGCAGTGAGTCCGTCCGTCCCCCTGCCTTCCCCCCCAGCTGGCTGGCACCGGGACCTTGGGGTCGCGTCCCCCGCGGCTGGGCCCTCGTCCCAGACGGGGGCCTGTTCCTGCCTTTGGTGTCTGCCCCCATCAGATACTTGGAGACCCCAAAGGATGGGCCGCTGGAGGGGGATGTGGAGGGACTTCTGGGAGGGCACAGTGGGGCCCGGACCAGCCCGTGGGGAGGGAAGGGAAATCGCCCCGGCTTTGCCCCGTCTCCCAGCTCTGCACCTGGCTCTGCCCCTGGCCTGGCTGTCTCTGCCCTCAGCCCTCCAGCCTCTGCCATTGGGGAGCCCCCCCCCTTCACCTCACGCCCCACCCTAGTTGTAGCCCCGGGTTTGGCCCCTTTGCCCCTCCCAGGAAGGGAGACGGATGGGCACGGACGGGGGCAAATACCGGATAAACATTTCTCAAGCAAAAAAAAAGAAAAACTCCGGGGAAAATGTGTTGAGGGGGAGGAAAAAAACGCTGGGGAAAATTGTTGGGGGGGGGATTTGTCAAGCAAAAAAAAAGTGCTGGGGAAAATTTGTCGAAGTGAGGGAGGGAGACACCGGGGAAAACTTGTCGAGGAGGGAAACACGCCGGGGAACATTTGTTGAGGGAAAAAAAACGCCGGGGAAAATTTGTTGACTGGAGCACACTGGGGAAAACTTGTCAAGGGGGGAAACACGCTGGGGAAAATTTGTCGAGGGGGGAAAAACCCCGGGGAAAATTTGTTGAGGGAAAAAAACGACGAGGAAAATTTGTCAACCGGAGCACACGGGAAAACTTGTCGAGGGGGGGAAACACGCCGGGAAAAATTTGTCGAGGGGGGAAAAACACCAGGGAAAATTTGTTGAGGGAAAAAAACGACGAGGAAAATTTGTCAACCGGAGCACACGGGAAAACTTGTCGAGGGGGGGAAACACGCCGGGAAAAATTTGTCGAGGGGGGAAAAACACCAGGGAAAATTTGTTGAGGGAAAAAAACGACGAGGAAAATTTGTCAACCGGAGCACACGGGAAAACTTGTCGAGGGGGGGAATTTGTGCGGGGGGGGGGGGGGATTTGTCAAGCAAAAAAAAAGTGCTGGGGAAAATTTGTCGAAGTGAGGGAGGGAGACACCGGGGAAAACTTGTCGAGGAGGGAAACACGCCGGGGGAACATTTGTTGAGGGGAAAAAAACGATGAGGAAAATTTGTCGACCGGAGGACACCGGGGAAAACTTGTCAAGGGGGGAAACACGCCGGGGAAAATTTGTTGAGGGGAAAAAAACGACGAGGAAAATTTGTCGACCGGAGCACACCGGGGAAAACTTGTCGAGGGGGGGAAAAACACTGGGGAAAATTTGTTGAGGGAAAAAAAACAACGGGGAAAATTTGTCGACCGGGGGACACTGGGGAAAACTTGTCGAGGGGGGAAAAAACACTCTGGGGAAAATTTGTCGAGACAAAAAAAAATAAATAAATGCGGAGGTGGGGAAGGGGCTGGATTTGGGAGGTTGGGCTGAAATACCACGTCTTCCGAGCGGGCTTCGGTCAGGCTCCAAGCTGGGCCCGGGAAAAGCAGAAAAACTTACTCAGTTGGAAAATACCGGACATTTATATGTCTGGTGTTTTCTCAATTTGTTTACCGGACACCTGGGAACCCTGCGGGAGGTGACCTTTAAAAGCATGGGGGCTGCTGACGTACCCTGCGGAACTCACTGCCACAGGAAGTGGCTGAGCTCCAGGGGTGCAGCGAGGATCCCGACAGAGCCCGGAACGAACAGTAACGTTGGGGGGAGTAGCACGTCAGCCCCACGGCGAGGTTTGCACCCCTTGTGCCGGGCAGACCCCGTCCCGGCTTGCCTCCTGAGAACCTTAAAAAGCAGGGGGGCTGCTGACGTACCCTGCGGAACTCACTGCCACAGGAAGTGGCTGAGCTCCAGGGGTGCAGCGAGGATCCCGACAGAGCCCGGAACGAACAGTAACGTTGGGGGGAGTAGCACGTCAGCCCCACGGCGAGGTTTGCACCCCTTGTGCCGGGCAGACCCCGTCCCGGCTTGCCTCCTGATCCCCTTCCCGCCCCCCCGCAGGTGCGAGATCTGCGGCTTCACCTGCCGCCAGAAGGCCTCCCTCAACTGGCACATGCGGCAGCACGACGCCGACGGCTTCTACCTCTT